TTTCAGTAATGGCTTTAAACAGGCCATGATTATTAAGATCTAAAGTAAGACAGGATAGGACAAATGGCAGCTAAGTTCTCAGAGCTTTAAAATTATTTCAAAAACTATTTTTTTAACCTCCATTATTGTTCAAGGGCCACATTATATGGGGAAAAAATGTCTTCTTTTTTATTATGATCATTGTCTTGGGTTTTTAGTTTTGTGTGGTCCTTTGCAATATTTTGTACTATGGGGAATGTATAATTATTTATGTCTTGGTGTTCTTCTTGAATGTTTTTTGTCTGTTTCTTGGTCCTTTTTTCACACTACACACTTGATCCTGGGTTCTGTTGTCTCCTGTTGTTTTTAATGTTATTGCTCTTTTAGGATATTTACAGCCTGGTGCCTTTTGTTCCTTCACAGAACCTGACCTGTGAATGGAATTGTTCTCATTAAAACCCTGTTTTTGCTGGGATCTTTTAATGTGGTATTTCTTGTCAATTTTCATTCTTCACCTTTGACTTGTCCATAAAAGATTTATTTTTCATTAACTGCCTCATCTTATCTAATCGTCCATCACACAAAATTTTGATTGCATGTTTTCTTTCACACAGCACTAACAGCACCTCTTTAACTAATTTATATTTACAAAAAGAAAAGTTTAATGTTTGCTGATTCCTGCCATCTTTAAGCAGAACTAATGTTTCCAGACCTGTTTTTGCTTGGTTTTAACAACCAACACCTTAAATTAAACTGACCTGTTTATACACCCCAACTATTCAGAATGTCTTCCAGGTTGTTACTACTTGCTTACCTGAAATACTTTATATCAACACCCTCCCTGAAGCATAATGCTACCATTTTGAAAATCTTGAAGTGTTTGTGTTATAGTCATGCTAAGCAGTGTTTTAGTCACCCACTCTGAGCTCTTTGAACAGCTACAGCTGACCCAGGCTAATTACAGACTGTTCCCTAACCTGCTGCCGGATCAGAATCAGATAAAGTGTAGACCAGAGTATCAGGATATCAGGGTGCTTTGATGAAAATGATCCACACAGTATGGTGCCATGAAAATGCTATGCTTGTGCAGGAAGCTGGGATATGTTTCTTAGCATCAGAGAGTGCTCATTGCAGCATGCACTGTGTAATGGTGAAATTGCACCTTGGGGAGCACACATTCCGTCTATGGAGACAGACCAACTAGCACCTGCATTACACCAGACTAATTTTTCTCTTCAGGATGTAGCTGTCAGAGCTCCTCTTAGATAAACCTGAAAAAAAGCAACCTTGTGAAACATGTGAGCTAACTTGTGCATGTGGAAGTTTTGAAGAACCGGAGCTTCTAGGAGGTTTGATAATGGGTCAGCACTGACCTGAAGTGCTTGACTGAGCTTACTGAAACCTTATGTTTATAAAAATATAGGAAGAAGGACATCCAATCAGCTACAGTAGCTTTGTTGCTATACTCTTCTTTTCTTGTTGTGGATGGGGTCTAATGTCTGTTGCATTTATTCGAATGGTTATTTTCAAGAAGAAGTGGTTAAATTGACCAGAAATATAGATTGTATTAGTCAGCATCATTAGCCTTTGATAAGGTTTTTTTTTTTTTAAATATACCTTATCAAAACTAAGCTTAAAACTAAATATTGAGCAGCATTTTCTGATTCCATTAACAAGTGTAAGGATTAACATTTATACAACAAAAATATTGAATGATGTTACTCACATTCAGTTTACATTTAAAATATCTAAATACCAAGGACAAGTAACAATACCCCTTGAAATACTTGTTCACATTTTGTCACAATAAGAACACAACTGTCACGGTTTGGTGGTGTTGGTAGAGGACCCAAATGCAGAGACGAGTTGGTTGAGATGAATTTATGTGTTTTAATGGGTTTTCAGGTTCTGAGGCAGGAGGTAATCAGGCTCAGAGGCAGGAGTCAAAAATCCAACAAAAATATCTTTCAAGACAGGAGTCAAAAAATCCAACAAAAATATCTCACAACCAGAATCTAGGAGACATCAGGGAAAAACCAAAACTAAGAACCAGGAAGAGACAAGGAAGGACAACAGAGAACTGACCAGATGTTTGATGAGATGAAAGAAGAGGATCCAGCAAACAAGAACTGAAGAGGGAGGGTTTTTAAAGGGGACAGAGACAAGGAGAGAGCTGATGAGGAAATTGGCAACAGGTGCTAGCAACACAGAGAAAACAGCAAGGGAGGACAGAGCAGAGAACCGAGCTCCCGATAGAGGACACAAGAGGGCAGCAGAGGACAACGAATGG